TTAACCTAACCAGACTTAACAAGCCAAGTCTAACCTCGGCGCTGAAAGAAATTACAAACCACCTGGTAGAAACATCTCAACCACCATAAAACAGTACCACATTACTCGAAATTCTTTGACGAACTTTCTCCATCTTCTCTGAAACACGTTCGAACACGTTCAAACGCCCAAACCATCCACTTCAATGACTTCTTCCAAACCAACCACTCATCAACGCTGAAACCATACATTCATTTGCACGAGAAGCACTTCTACCGAAAGATCAAAATCGACGACCAGAGATAAAAGAAATGTAAGATTATCAGATAACACAGTCGAAGAATCCATCGGATCCCCTCCAATCACACGAAGAAGCTTCGTGAGGATCTCGATTCGCCTCGAAGGCAACCGTAATTACGCGTGGCGACTATTCATTAAGCTGATTGCACCTTCCTTCTTCTCCCTGTTCTCGTTTTCCATTCCAACTGGCCGGAACGTTATCGCGGTTGTTCGCGTAAAATCGAGCGATCCCTCGCGACCGCTGCCCTCGGTTGCCGTGCGCACACGTTCAAATTGCGCCTCTATGCATCGATTTAACGAGAGTCGAATAATGCAGGCGGCATTTTTCCGGGACACCCGTTGATTCGCGGCCAGCGTTCATCTCGATGAGGGATCGCGGAACAGCGTTTTATCTTTCGGGATATTATTACCGCGAGATGGAGGAAAAGGTGCTGCTTCTTTTCTTTTTTTCTCCTCCTCTTTCCCTTTTTACTCTGCTGTTCGTTTCTTTATTTGCGGACAGGATTGGGTTGGTCGAAACGGTAAAAGGTTAGAGAGGTTTCGAGGAGGTTTTAAGATAATTTCGAAGTTAGCTGCAGTGTGTTACATCTAGCAGGTTCGAGTAGGCAAATAGCGAAGGAATAAGATTTTTGTAAAATACCGAACGGAGCCTGTAGACGCTTTCGACTGGATTTTATCTGCTTGGAATACATTTGCTTGGAATAAAAATCGCCGAATTTTTAGCGAAGAATTGCTTTACCATTTACCAATTAACTAGAACTTTCAGATCAGTTACACTGTGCTACAGAAGATTGAATAAAAAAACTGACAAAGGGATGAGATTGTTACAGTATACCAAATACAGAATGTAAATAGCGTTAATTAGATTTCATCAGGTTATATGTTGGAACAATTATTCAATTATCACGTTGATTACATCTTCCCACGCGCTCGTAACGCGTGCTTTTCCAAAGTTTTCACAGCCAACGAATGCAATCGGAATCTTAGCGCTACCTGCAACCAAATAAAACATGAGGAAACTTCCACGATGTGATACACTTTGCAAAAAACCAAACCGCTCTAACCTGCGTAATCATTCAATTTGCAGATACGTCAATTACAAGGAAATAATTGATCGGACTTACCGATCCGTCAATTACAAGGAAATAATTTATCGGTTTCAATTAATCTAGACAAAAATCCGAAAGCACGCGAGAAAATCAAACCGTGAATGTTTCAAAACGTAAGAAAAAAAAAAAAAAAAAGAAATTTGCGCGCACCATCGGTTACTTTCCCCGACGTCTCTATTACTCGAAAGCGGGCAGGTTAATTTCCCCTTTGGACGAGGAAGAAGGGAAGAAAAGAACAGGAGGTTATTAGAAGGGCTTATCACGATCAGCTTTCTCGCAATTACCGCTCACGAATAGAATCGGTGGACTTCTCGAGTGACTTCTGGCCGGATACTAAACTACCCGTGCGTCCGATCGATCGATAATGAACACGTGGAAGTATTCGAGGAGGATACGTGACCGTGCATACGCACGCATCCCGAGCGTGTTCGAACCGAGAATGCATAGGCCCGCCACGATACATCTCTTCTGATCGAATGCGTTATAATCATCGCGACGACATTGTAATATCGTTCCCCTCCGCCAATAGACGTCTGGTGATCGTAGAAGTATTCCTCGACGTGACTTCCTCCGGTGGATCGTCTATCGATCGATCGATCACTAACCATGGAAATATGAATTCACAGGGACTATTAATATTTTGTGATCGTGTGCATTCAAATGGCTATTCTTGGCCAGCCATTGAAATTGTTTTAATGTACGAAGTGTCTTGGATAGCAAAGATTAATAAAAAGTTTTTATTGGAGATGGGAATTATATGCGGAGATTTGTGTGAGAATTTACGTGAATTCGTGGAGATCGAGTTTGAAAATTTGCGAGGTCTGAATTTCGATTGAGTTTGATTAGAAATATATTCAGAGGACTAGATGTTTTCGCCATACAATTAAATTTTTGTTTTAATCTGCTTGGATGAGTGGTTCGATTTGAAAATTTTGGCCAGCCTTGAATTTAAGATGAGTTTCAATTGAAATGCATCGAGATGGCTATTTTTCGATATTGATGAAATTTGCATCAGTTTCTTTGAATGAGATTTGAATACACGTTGGACTAGATTCCACTTGGAAATCTTGCGAACATTGAATTTCAAGAATTAAGAATCAAACGGCTACACTTCGATTATAATCCTTAGTTCATATTTGACTAAGTTGGCTTAATTTGTTTTAAAATCGTTTGAGCAAAGTCTAGATACGAGTTGAATTTCTTATTACATGCAGGAATGATATGATAAGTAAGTCTACATAAATTTGTATTAACTGCAGTTTGTTTAAATGACTATAAGTTTGTAAAAATAAGAATTAAATTTGGATGAACTTTCTGTTGATACATTTAAAATTCATACAATAGACTTAGGATGGATGCAGATTAAAAAGTATAAATCTCAACTAACTTTAAGTTAGGTGTGGGTCGTCTACAGTGATTTGAATCAGATACGATATAATCTGGTGTAGTTATTTTACATATATTTATGTAAAATAGCATAAGCATAAGCATAGTTCAGATAAAATATAAATTTCGATATCATGTAGACTATATTTAAAGATTAAACGGTATGGTAAATTAGGAACTTCATGGAGAACACGGAAATCTCTGTCAAGATTATCTCGTGAAAATCAGAATTAATTCTGGAAGTTTACATTGTATGTAAATGATTGAAATTTTTCAAAAGAGTGAAGTTGAAACAAGTATGCGGTCAAGTGGAATCGGTTCGAGTGGAATCCAGAGAAGTTCAACGTAAGAATGTGGAAATCGATGATCACTCTACTAGCTGGCAAAGGCATCTTATTAAACATGCTGATACCAGTGCGTGATTCGCCTCATTTACAATACACCAAGCACATCATCCTAACATTCTATGGAAAATTCCTGCCGGCGGATTTCGATCAACCAAATATACCGCAATAAAATAAGAAGATCTGTACACTCAGCTCATTAACGATATTTCTAAGATAAAAAATTTATTCGAATCAATTACAGTGTATTTGTAACGAATCTCTGATTCTTATATTAATCGATGCTTCAAAGAGCGTATTTTAATATAAATTCACAAAGGTTTGCAAAAATAAAGAACATTTGTTTCAATTCATAATTATTTTAAAAATTCTGAATTTCCCTGGCCCGCAATTGTACATGCGTGTATTCTAAATAAATTTTCTGTATTAAAATTATCTCATAATGAACTGAGATTTTGCACCTACAAACTGTTCTATTTCATTCTTGAATATTTAGAAGTAAAAGAATTTCTATTAACTTTCTCAGCTAATAGAATTTTATTCAAAAAGAATATTGAATTATAAAGAAATTTCTAATCTCCAAAAATTAATGATTCTTAAACATTGCCTAAAGCAATTAAAAACTACAGAAATTCGAAATTAGCATTCAAGGATGTCGAAGATATTCTTCAAATAGCAATTAATTAAAACACATTTATTATGCCATCATTAGCCACGCTTCTGTAAATTACCTCTATATATCGAACCCAATAACTCACCCTCCTTATATGTACCAGTCCTATAAACGGACTTAACCGCAGCCGGATCGTCGTTCCAGCGAACTTTATGCAAATTTACGAGAACGTTCAACGCGTCAGCATAAAGTCCATCAGCTGCGACGTTGTTCGTTCAGCAGCCGGGTGCACGCATTTTTATCGCGTCGGTTCGAGAGCCAGCGAAACCGGTGTCGTAATATACAATCGAACGAAAGTCCGATCTCCTCGACTGCTGGAGAAACTCGTGAAATTCCTTCCGTGATTGTTCTCCAGCTATTCTCATTCTTTCGATAAATCGATTAAAAGGGGTGGGGTGAAAGGTGTTACACACCTGTTCGACGTGATTATTTTAAAATATTTTTATAGGTTATGAAAAGAATGGTGGTAGATGGTAAATCGAATATTTTAACAATATTTTCATTTAGTACTTGTATTTAGGATACTGGTAGTATCTTTTGTAAAGTGAGATTAGATTTTGGTGAAGTAGATTTGAATTAAGTTTGACAGATTAAGAATATGAGGAATTGCAAGATTAGTTTTGTAATATTCAAATAATGGTTAGACTGAGAAATTAAAGTTAATTTTGAAGAATATTCGATGGAATTGAAAAATGTTTACACGAGTTTGGTAATTATTTTACAGGAAAATTATAAAAAGAGCTACTGCGGAATATATTAACCATAAATTTTCTGAAGGACGTAAGTAATTTTTAATGTACAAGCTTAAAAAGCGAGACACAACAGTCTTAAATCAAGTACATTTGTACACATGTATTATATTATATGTTTTATAATTAATCTACCTATATCTAATCTCTAATCTATCTTCGATTAATCTGTGTGCCAAGCTCATCGGTTTCACAAATGATTATCATGTAATTTACAAAGAATTAAAAACTGATCCTATATTCTAGTACTAATTTTCTTACAGTTAATCATTTTATTCTTCTAATAGCTGGATTCGTGTTCAATTTTTCTAGTAAAATCTACATAACCTAACCTCAATCTCGGTAACTCTACATCGAACCTGTTAAAACGATCTTAGTCATAAAATAATAAACACTCTCTCAAGTAACACTAGAATCTTCTTCGCTCTAATCTACTTTAAGTAATTGATTAACAACTTACCAAAACGCGATCCAATCGAAGAATTCCACAAGGCGGTTTCTATCCGGGTCGCGAATCCGGAAAGGAAGGTGTCCCGCAATTTTCCCTGATTTTACGATTCCTCCTCCCGAATGGTAGAATCAAAACCGCTGAATTACACGCTGAAAACGATGCAAACTCGTATAAGATGAATCGTGTACGAGAAGTCCGTGCCGGCTGGCCGTATAGAAAGCGGTGGAAAAGGCTTCGAACAGCGTTACACGCCTAATAACCGAGTATCATCTCTCTGTCGAGAGTCGAGGAGCGGGGAATTTCTACGATTCGAGATCTCGATCCGTGGATCTGTCTAATGTGGCCCAACCACGCGAACCTATCATAACCTGGGCCAACCTCAGCCATCTAACCACATGTTTGCCAAGCTAACTTCTTACAGCCTCGATTTCCCTTGGATTTGCATTTCTACCAGTGCTAACGTTCCCGCGGGATCAACGTTCCTTACCATCTTTCCGTCTTTTCCGTCTTTTTATTCCCTAGAATCGTTTCGTATCGTTCCAAAAAGGGAATAACCACTAGGAGAAACGATATGATTGTTCGAATGGAGATTGGCCGGCGCTATTAAGACCTTGTTAATGCAATTTCTGATCGATTTTTTTGCGAGAAGTGGGTAATCAAACTTGTCCAACGATTTACCTGTGAACGGAAGATTGTTCGATGATTTAAAACGCAGTTTGAGCTTCTCACTCTTGCATCTTCGACACGCTATTTACGTTTACGAGTCGCGTCAGACGCGTGGTCACGTGATGCGCAAACTACTAGTGCGCAATCATTATCAATTTACGATTTTCATAATCATAATGGATCGCGTTGTATTCATTGTATCATTATACAAATCATTTGCTAAATCTGTTAATTAAATAATACATATTTAAGCTTAATCTAGCTTGACAGATACACTGTCGACTATAAAAATTAGTTGAATTGTTTTTCACTGCTGTTACTTTCTAGGTGTTTTATTATAAATCTTATTTTATTCGCATCATTTATGCTTTAATATGTAAAATCCTAAATAATGTAAAGTTTATGAGCATTTTTCAATAAATGTAATCAGTGGATGTTCTACTATTTATAGTTTTTTCACCTAACCCTATCGAAACGGAATTTTCTAATATCATAATGCAAACTATAATACACAGTCAAGTTTTATAAAAGTTACGGATTTTTAATTTCTGAAATGAGATACGTAGCTCTATGCAATGGTGCCAGAAAAATAATAATAATACAACGATCTCTCGAAAAGCTACTTTACGATTTATAGTAACATTAATGTCGAAACGATTAAGATGTGAATGTTTATACAAGTAGGTTTCTATATCAAGTTAAAAATGTGTATGTTCATAGAAGTAGCTTTCTATTTCTAAATTAGGTTTTGATTTCCTTTAGATTTTGACCACATAGATTTATTTACCTTTGCTAACTCGATAAAGTAAAGATGGGCCCAGAGAAAACAAGGTCAATTAACGTGTTGAAGACGGAACGGCGTCTCGTTTTATTTGATCGAATATAGAGCTTGAAATGGTTGATTACAAATACAGCCAGTTTCTTTCGCGCGGGAAAAGCTGCCTAGTTCATTATTGGAAAAAAAAGTGGGAGAGCGTTGTTAGACTTAAAATTAAAAGGAAGTTTATGAGGTTAATTGTTAAGAACGAGGACTGTGTAAGAATTCTTACAATTGCGTCCAGTTTCCGTGATTGTATTTATGTTCACAGAAACCAGTTTCCTTGACCAGAGTGAAATTTCACGTAGATCTGAACAACTGGAGTTAGACCGAGTAATTCTAGGTGATTCTTCAAGACCAGTTCCTCGAGATCAAAGTGAAACGCTTGGATCGGTTTCTGGCAACCGTATATAGACACCTTTGGAACCAGTCCCTATTATCAGAGCGAGATTCCTTGACATCGGTTTACTATGACTGCACCTGGGCTCGAAGATTTCTTGCGAATGACGGTCGACACTTCGTGGTCGGGTTGTTAGAACTCAATTGAAGTCACGTGAAATACTAGATGACCGATATTCCGCTCCCTTTTCACTGGAAATAAGATTCGTTCGATCTAAAGCTAGTCTCGTTTTCAATACAGTATCTATGGAATTCGAAATTATTTTTGGAACGACATGTAAAATAAAAGAAACTCCTCTTGTATACCACTTTAGATATGCAAATAACGCACTGTAATAAAAACCATCCTACTTTTATTGCATCATCGAACGAACATACGTTACAATCTAATATGTTTATTGGAATCGAGGAAAACATTTATTAAGCTACGTAGAGTCGTTCAATTTTGCGAAACTTTCAAGATAAGATCCGTATTTATTTCCCTGCTTTATCTTTCGATTTAAGAACTCCTTCCAAGAGAATTTACTCGTTAAAATAAGTACAGAGGCTTTCAAAATGAGTGCGGCCTAACTGCCGTACGATTATTCTCTCTTTTTCTACTTAACTCAACTACTATAACGACCAAGAATTGTCCAAAAAATCATCGCTTTTCAAAAATCGACCACCAACGTGCTTCATTGAAAATTTAACGATCGCTAAAATTCATAAAAATCTCCTATCTTCGACCAGCAGCCGATATTTACAATAGCAAAATGATCAACCTACCACATATACGACAGATACTGGTTGCCAAAAACCGTTCGCGTCGAGTCCAAGTGCGAAACGGCGAAAAAACTCAAACCTGAGCCAAACAAGTCGGTCAAAGTATAAAAAGAAGACAGCAGAAGATGAAGAAGAAGAAGGGGAGGAGTTGGAGAAAGGGGAAGAAGATACGAGGAGGCGGCGGAAGGCGATGCGTGTGGGTTCAACGAAGGGGGTGTCGGGTTACCAATGAAATACTGGTACCATTTTGTTTACAATATTGTCGGGGGTGTATCCACGGTGTGAGGAGGAGCGTGGGGCAGAAGGTCGGACACTTCCACGGCTCGTTGTCCAGTTCCTCCGGGTTGGAACACCTTGTGCCTGGTTGCGGCGAAAGAGAAGCGAACAAGGAGCAAGAAAAGCGAAAGACAGAGAAACGTATAAGACAGTATACACGCATACAACGTGGGCCCCCTTAAAGAATTATCTCTTTCTCGCGGCTCCGACCGCTGCCTCCACGGAGATCCCCTCGATTGGACTGATTCTTACACGCGCGGCCCGGCGACGAGCCTAAATTGCGAATTCCGCCGCGTTCCACACCGACAAAGCAGCGCGAGTCAAACGAGCTTGTTCCCCCGCCGCCGGATGACAGATTTATGGTATTAGATGGGACACGCGAATTTGTGTTCCCCGGTGACTTCGATCCCTCCGGATGGCCAGAGCTCGAGGGTAAGAGACTGCCACGACGGAGACTGGCTATGTTTGCCGAGAGTTTGTTGAACTGACTCTCAGCGAACAGATTTTCGAACGATTTCGGCCAAGTCAGAGCGGACTTACGGGAAACGTTGAATTTTTCCTTTCTTCTCGTTTTTTGGTAAGTCAGTTAATTACCTGTACGGCAGCGATTTGTCGATTTCTGGATTTAACGAATTTTACACGATGTTTGAAATACTTGTAGGAATTGCGAATTTTATGAAAGAGCTCGTGGACTGGTCGAATTTTTCTTCTTTCGTAGAACAGATAGTTATTTTCGAAGAGTGTGAAATAAATATAGAACTGAATTTCTCTAAAGAATTGCCCTTCTACTTTCGTTTAGTCGATGCAGCTGTATGAAACTCCTTCAGAGGGATTGAGAATTAAATTCCGAGAGGTTGATTGATCTTCGATAGAAGACACTGTAAATTCTTCCGTCTTTTCATGCGTGTTAATCGATATTCGATTAGTTTTTTGTAAGTTGTGTCTTTCAAAAAACGCCATTCTCACGTATAGTACTTTAATTCGCTTGTTTCTTCAAACTCTTCTTCCTATAGCTGTATTTTTTCCGTATTTGATCGCAAGATAAATCACAGGATAAACGTTTCAAGATTGTTGCCGTAGTAGCCAATCGGTGGATCTGCAAAGAATCGTCTGATCTTATCGAACGCGAAAGGATAAAAGAGAAAACGAAGTGGAGAAAGAAGAAGGGAAGCACAATCAATAAATATCGAATCGATCTCGATTTCATTGAGTAATCGACGCCAATGGGGGAATCTGCATCGCGGCGCTTCGATGCAGGAAGCGCGAAAGAAAATTGCAGATCGTCGCGATTTCCACGCCGTTAACGTTCCGCTATCGATCTAACCGCGAGTTCTCGCCTCTAATCATATCGCGAGCAACGTCTTCCTCGATGTTGCTCAACCTACCGTGAACAACCGCCATTCCACCGATTTGTGTCTCGAATCCAAGCGGATCGCTTGACCCCCGATATATCGTCGGATTTCTCAGCTTCCGGGAACGAGATCGACGCCCACAGAATAGTCGCGGCTTCCGCGAGTACGCCCGTTGACTTTGAAACCCGGTCATTTTGATAATTTTTATCGGTACATAGCAATGTTAGATTCATCAAACATCCGAGTAACTTGCTTTTGTGGTAATTTGAAAAATATACGACGCGTTACGTTTATCTTCTGATGGAAAAGAACGATGAAGATAGTTGCTTCGAACGTTTCAGAAAAAGGAAAATTACTGCTACGTAGAAAAATATATTGGACGTGGAAGTAATTCGTACGACAGTTTGGATCACATGAAAAGTGTTCCGTAGAAGACAAAAATTAAAAAAGAGATCGATTTGGAATTTTGTTATGTTGGAAATAAAGAAAATCGCCGTTGATAACTGCTGAATTAATTTCAAATTGACAACGAAATTAGTAGAAAATTCGATGGAGGTAGAGTTGAGAAAGTAATTCCAAATTTTGTGTAATATCGTATTCCTGTCCGTTTTTACTTTTAATTCGATGAAGTTAAAAAATGAGACGAGTATAAGGAAGATTTCTTTCTTCATCCAAGTTTCTTCTGCTTATTATCTACAATTAAATATCCTCTTCGTTCTTATATTTTCTCGACAAAATTGTTTATTTGGCAAAAGCAGTCGGTCTCTCCGCGTTCTTTTGACGATCAAAAAGAAAGTAGGATTTTTGGAGAAGACGAATCTGATCGGTGAATCCTGTGTGTCCTCAAGTTTGCTTAGTCCAGCTTTAATTTCGACTTTACGAGCGTGCTTACCTGGTCTGCTCGGTGGTCCACGTCCCGGTCGTCCGTTTACTCCGTCGCGCAGTCGTGGAAAAAGCTCGTGTCGACCAACGTGTTATTCAAATGCAAACATCCGCTCCGACTCGCGGCTGGTGACTTATTGACTGCACGGATCGGAAACGCCGATCGCGGATGATGCTGTTCCACGTCGGAAGTTCTCCTTCGTTACTGCGAATATAATGGGAAAATGAAAGTTGAGCTTCGATGATTACAGAATTTGGATTTTTTTAGCTTTCAGCTGGAAATTGTGAGATTTGTGGGATTTGACAGTGGGCATTCAAAGGAGATTTGCGATACAATTATTTGTAGATTTTTAGAAAGCTCAGAGATCTGAAAATTGGAAGATTGGAAGATTGGAAAATTCAAAGATTGGAAGGTTCGAAAATTCAAAGATTCGTAGAAATCCGGAGACCAGACCAGACGTTCGAAGGTTCGAAGATGCGAAAAATCAGAAGTTCAAAGATCCAAAAAGGCAGTGTAAAGATTGGAGGGCCTAAGATTCACAAAGCCGCGAGATAAACTACGATGACAGAATCAATTTCCATTAAGTCGTACTATGTCAGAAACAAT